ACATTATTACTTCATTTCAATATCATTTGACGTATGGGAAAACTCACACATTAGCTGCAACAAGACAAAAGGCAACAATAAGAACACACTCCAACATCTAAAGATCTAAACTTAATCTGTCGTGGACTAGACTCTGTGCCTAAAATTTAGGCCTTTTCTTCATACTGTCAAATAATAGATTTCCAACAAGATAAATATTTTACGTTAATTAAACTTCATGGTCACAGCTTAGACAGATATCATGCTAACATCAATACAAATACATTTTCATATGAAATGACACACATCAAAACATAATCATTTCATGAATTATTTGCTATAATCATCGCTATGGCATGGGGCTATGGCTGCCAATTTGCAACATGTGGGCAGGAAGTAAATAACATTCTAATAAATTTACAAATACACCTCAATATATGACTTAGATGGCAGGAATGTTTAAGCACATTAAAGAGGGGTGTTTTATCTACTTTTTTACATAAATTTAGTTTACATACCAAATTGTGTCCTACCAAAACTATAAATTTCAATTGGAACTAGACCAGCGTGTTTGGCAACTTCAAAAACATACCAAAAAAACGTGTGCGAGTAATTACGTAATACGTCATTAGTATTTGCGTACTGGGCATATTCTTTTGGGCTCTACATACACACAAGACCTACTGGAGAGGCGTTAATTGTCAATTCTTTTCGGGTCATTTTTGTGTGAAGTCTACATATGTCAAAAGAAACAAACTGACCAGCACTAAACCCACTAGAGTGCTACAATATTCTGAAAATGTGTAAAAATCAGTATTTTTCATGCGATTCTTCTTTTACTGATGACAGACGACCATCTTCAAGAGTTTAAATGACCACAGATTATCAACATTAGTATTAGATTTTTTTCATTTGAGCGATTTCGTCCCAGATATGTTATTTTGGTTAAAAATCATAATGTTTTTGTGACCAAATCGGACGTTCATGATCATTGTAGGGAAGGGGCGTAACCATAGGCCTACGGGGAAATTTTTGACTGGGGGGGCGGTGGTGGTTGGTGCCCAAAAAATGTAGTTAGGTTCTTAGTATGTTACATAATAATAATAAATTCGCTGTTAAATTGGACACATTCAAAAAGACAAATATTTTTTTATACAACTTTTACAAAGTACAATTGTGTGCCCAAATTTTCCCAGCATTTGGTGCCCAAAATGGGGGGGCAGCCACCCCCCCAGCTCCCCCAGCTCGTACGCCTATGGGCGTAACTGGTGTATAATTTTTCAGAATCAGACAACGATTATTCTCATTTGTATTCTGTAGTTAGTAGCAGGGAATTGTATAAATGTATGGGTTGGCATGGCAAGATTTTATATCAGCACAATCTGACTAAAGCAGAGTTTTTTCACCAATTACCAACGATTATTTTCAAATGACCACTGATCATTACCATTATTATAATGTTTCGTTATTTGAACATGCCTGTCAAATTGGGTATTTTAGTAAAAAATCATAACGTTTTCGTGACAAAATCAGGCTTTCACGCTCGCTGGATAGCCGAAGGGAAGATCATAAGTCGTACATAATTTTGCAGTGATCAGACCACGGTTATTGAGATCTGTATTTAGGAGCAGATCATCGTATAGATTTATGGGATGGCATTACTATCATAAACTTGATATATCTATACTCAGCCAAATTAAAAACTTGACACTGATGAATTTCAACAAATTAAAATTGTTATTTTCATCTTTGTTAGAAAATGCCGCGCCTTTCAAATGTAGAACATCTACGTGCTATAGGTAGGCTCTATGCTGGTCAGTCTGTGGTCACTGTTGCAAGAGCCTTTAATTGTTCACACCAGACAATAATTAATCTTAGAATGAGAGTGCTTCAAACTGGAACTATTGCCGACCGCCCAAGGGCAGGAGCGCCAGGTGTGACGTCACTCCAGGAAGATCAAGCAATAAGATTACGTCATCTTAGAAACAGATTTGTCACTGCAACCTCCACAAGTAGAGAGATGTTTGGTGGAAGGGTAACTGCACAAACTGTTCGAAATCGCTTGCAGACTGCTGGTCTTCGAGCTCGGAGGCCCTATAATGGACCAATATTAACACCTCTTCATCGCCGTAATCGACTTGTGTGGGCCACAAGACACATAAGATTTACTCAAAGACAGTGGAATTTGGTTGTCTTTAGTGACGAATCTCGATTCACTTTGAGATTTCCCGATGGCAGGGCCCAAGTGTACCGCAGACGAGGTGAATGTTACGCTCAAGTATGCGTCAGAGAAGTTGACCGATTGGTGGCATCATGGTTTGGGGTTCTTTTTGTGCACATAGACTTTCTCCTCTTGTTGTTGTTCAAGGGAACTTAAATGCTGTCCAGTACAGGGATCAGATTTTGCAACCTGTTCTTCTTCCGTTTATGCAGAGATAAGGGCCTGGACTAACGTTTCAACAAGACAATGCTCGACCCCATACAGCAATTGCTACCCAGAATTTTTTAAGAAATGCCGGTGTCCAAGTCCTGGATTGGCCGTCGCTTAGCCCCTACCATAATCCTATTGAACACATCTGGGACGAACTGGGTCGACGTGTTCGTCAGCAGGTGAATCCACCACTGACGTTGCAGAATCTTCAACATGCTCTTGCTGAGCAGTGGCGACGTCTTCCTCTGTTAGTGTTTACTAATGTTCTGAGATCCATGAGAAGACGTTGTGTGTGGGGGGTACTGTGACATCACAAACGTTATCAATGTCAAGGACTTTCGGGGAGACGTATTCTTGCTTTCTGTTGATGTCAAGGTCGTCTGTGCACAACATAACACTAAAATAGTTGCCTTAAACCAAATATTAAAAATCTACTCCCGAAAATCCCGAGTGTCAAGTTTTTAATTTGGCTGAGTATATTATCCACATTCTCATGTAAGAAGAACCACAAGAAAAAATATTTTTAAGTGTTCATGGAGAGGCATTTAATATCTGGCAGTGTCTTTGTTTAGGAGACCGTCATGCTTTCCATATTTTGATCCCCGAAGTGGAAGATGGCATAGATCACAACAGGTTTTATGGCACTGCAGACAATCCAGGATAATTCTGACTGTACATGCCAACCTCCAGCATATACCTATGTTCGAGCAGAAGTGTTCACTAAGTCCGGTGGCTGAAGTGGGGGAATCGCCACCCAAGCTGTGAATTTATGAGACCAAGTTTTTCTAGACCAGTTTTTTGCGTAGATTCCGAATTTGGGTGGTGATCGGGCATTTAAGGGGGCGTTTTCAAGATATGGGGCGTCCAATGTCTACAATTGGGGGGAAATGTCATTATGTTGACATAAATGATTATCATGTTATATATACTATTCAAAAAAAGTAGGGGATATTTGATTTTTAAGTGTTATTAAAGTCACCTAATGAAACTGACGAAGAAACAAATGACAAAATGAAATGAAGTTCACATTCATCGATTTATTCCAAATGATCGTTAGACTAAGTAAGGCACAGACTGACCATTATAAGGGTAAAATGATACCCGGGGTCAAACAGCAAAGTTACCACAGCATCACAACCAAGTCAGTAACGGGTAAATCCTCCTCTGTTTGCCAAACAAGCATTGATCCGACGTGGCATACTCCTAATGAGACGTCTAAGGTCATTTTGGTCCAGATTGTCCCATTCCTGTTGCAACGCAGCAGCAAGTTCTTGGACATTGGCAGGACGTTGTTGACGTTGACGTAACCTCTGTCCAAGCATGTCCCAGACATGCTCGATGGGGGAGAGGTCGGGACTCAGTGCTGGCCAAGGTAATGTGGTGATGTTCTGTTGTTGGAGGTAACCTGTAACGATCCTGGCCCTGTGACATCTTGCGTTGTCATCCTGGAAGATGAAACGGCGGCCATGACGTCGTGCGAACGGCACAACATGGACTGCCAAGATGTTGTCCCGGTAGTACTGGCCTGTAACACGCCCTGCAACAACATGTAAAGCCGTTCTTCCAGCAACAGTGATGCCTCCCCACACCATAACAGAACCACCCCCAAATCGATCATGTCTGATGACGTTAACGTCTTGGAAGCGCTCGTTTCGACGACGCCACACCCTCCTACGTCTGTCCAAAAAATCAACAGTGAACCATGACTCATCTGAAAACATCACATTGCTCCAGCGTCGATTATCCCAGTGTTGACGATCCCTACACCAACGACGTCTTGCCTGAATGTGATGATCTCTCAAACAAGGGATCACGCGAGGACGTCAGGCGCGAAGGTGACCCCTATGCAGTCGATTCAGAATCGTCTGGCCACTCACTCTCACACCAGTGTCTGTTTAAAGACGAGCGCTGATCTGATTTGCTGTGATGACACGATTTCTCAAGGCCAAGGTACGGATAAATCGATCCTGGGCTTGAGTTGTCGCCCTTGGTCGATCTGAGCGTGGTCTGTCCTGTACAGATTGTGTATCACGGTATCTGGACCATAGCCTGCTTATGACAGACTGAGAAACATTCATCGTCCGCGCCACAACCGCCTGTGTTGTGCCGATCTGTAGCATGCCAAGGGCACGTAACCTTTCATTTTGGGTAAGCCGACGCATATCAAAATTTGTTTTCTGGTCACTAAAACAATTAAACTGATGTTTCCACCCTGGAATTCAATGCCACAATGACTGTAACATTCAAAGTCAGAGTCGTGCAAATCTTGGGTTGGACCCCCATGATGATCCCAAGCATCACCTGCATTCCATGCGGTAGCTATTGGTGCGTTTGGGCGTCACATGTAACTGGAAATGTTTCTTCTGTTAGGTTCTATAGTGACTTTTTTCGTAGTCATTTGCATATTTTAGTATTATGCCCCCAAAATCAAATATCCCCTACTTTTATTGAATAGTATATTAATAAAACATAATTTTCTAGGACTGTCCTGTCCATCACTAAAGAAGTGTATATGATGCTTATCAACAGCTCGCATATATTCTTTGTATTTGCTTCAGATACCTATTCACATTGTAAATCTTCATTCCAGCCTTGTATCGCAGGATCATCTTGTTCGATCATTGGTTTTGCAGCCTGTCTCCATATTGTTGCAACATAATTGTTGCGTTTAATGTGCAGTAAAAGACTACTCAGGCAAGATGGTAATAAAGAAAGGTTTGTTATTTTTCATCACAATTAAAATTCCTCTAGAAAATCTTTCTTCTAGTGTCATCTACTGATGTAAATCGCCTTTCGCCGTCCATGGTACAAACATTTTTTTCTAAACCAGCAATTATGTCATCAGAAACATCATTTGTCTGTCCCAGCTCTTTAAAAATTGTTAGAAAGTTGGAAAAAGAAAGACAGATAGTCATTACCACTGAAAGCATGTAGGCCAAGATATTCTTGACACTTCAATACTAATCTTGATTGGATAAGAAAATATATCAAGATTAGTATTGAAAGTGTCGAGAATATCCTAGAACTGAGAACAAACCACGAGGACACCAAAATAGCTTACCTACTCCTCTTCGCATTGCAAATTAATGGAGGCGCTGAAACAAATTGTATTTTGCGTTCTTGCTAGGGCGAAATAGGCATCCCAATCATTCTCCTCGCAAACAATGATCCAAATATACACAGTCTGATCGATAATTAAACAGGCAAAGGTAAAAAATATCGCGGAAAGCGACCTACATCAGTAGATGACGCTAGAAGAAATATTTTCTGGGTGAAAAAATAATAGACCTTTCTTTATTACCACCTTTTCGTAGTGGTATCTGAAGCATATATGCAAAGCTCATTTCCCGCCAATTTTATTTAGAGATGGGCAGTCCTAGAAATTTATGTTTTATTAATATTTAACATGGTCATCATTTATGTCAACATAATCACATTTTCCCTCAATTGTAGACATTGGACCCCCCATAACTCGAAAACGCCCCCTCAAACACATGATCACCACCCCAGATTCGGAATCTACGCAAAAAACTGGTCTAGAAAAACTTTGTCTCATAAATTCACAGCTCGGGTGGCGATTCCTTCCTTCAGCCACTGGACTATTAAGATCCTGACCTGCCTTCCTATGTCCTTAGTTTTGGGACTCCATTTTAAATTTGCAATGATGTTTTGGCCTATATATGTCATCTTCTTCAGTAGATTTCAATATGGAATATATGTTGTCTCCTGATTTTCAATAACTAACTATCTATTAAAACTTCCAAATGTTTCTATACACTGATCAGCTTTAGATCATAAGGTATGTCATAGAGTTAAGTGGCATGGTTTCCATTACAAGCTTGTAGGTAACATGGTGTAGTGTTGTCTGTCCAATCTCACGGATTATTGAAATAAAACTGTATCATATGTTAGTGCCAAAATTACCTAGTTTGTGTTGAGTAGACCTTAACCCTTAACCGGTCTTTGTTGACTATAGTCACCATAATGTTATACAGCTAAGTGGTCACGGTCGACCACAGTAAGAACCTTTTTTATAAGCTGCATTTGAGTATTTAGTTTCGTATTTAATTGTCCCTCGCCTGTCTGTCTGTGTGTCTGTCCATCACTCTGTCTGTCCGTCATACTTTTTGGGACACAATAACTCTCTTTCTAATTGAGCTACAATGTTCAAACTTGGTGTAGGTGTTTATTAGGTCAATGCCTTGATGGAGTTCGAAGATGAGAATTTTCGGCTTAGTGTAAGCAGAGATAAGCAATTTGATTAGTTGACATACATGAGAGTGAGGACACTTGGAGTATAGTTTTATTACATCCATACCTTTACTAAGTTCGATTATGAATATTTTCTGCTGAGGGTAAGCAGAGCGATAAGCAATTTGATTGGTCGAGACTTTGGAACACAATAACTCTCCTTCTAATTGAGGTAGAATGTTTAAACTTGGTGTAGGCGTTCATTAGGTGAATCCCTTGGTGGAGTTCTATGATGAAGATTGTCTGCTTATGGTAAGCAGAAATAAGCAATCTGATTGGTTGATGCTTTGAGGTTCGATAACTTTGGTTATAATTAAGTGAGAGAGATGGAACTCTGAATATAGATTCATTATATCATTACCTTGACTAATTTTGATGGTGAGAATTTTCTGCTTAGGCTAAAGAGCGATAAGCAGTTTGATTGGTCAAGACTTTGGAACATAACAACTCTGCTTTTAATTGAGGTAGAATGTTTAGACTTGATGTAGATTTTCATTAGGTGAATGTCTTGACGGAGTTCAATGATTAACAGAGCTAATCAATTTCATTGGTCAATGCTTTGGGACAAGATAATCTTGATTCTATCTGGTAGAGAGTGATGAAACTTAGTGTGTAGTTTGATTGCTTGATACTTTTGAAACAAAAAATAAATGTGTGATTAATTAATGTGTGTCATCTATTTATTTTGGGATTTCGGTGGGGGACATCAGCCTCACTGTTGGCTTGTTGAAATGGCCACGCATGTGTGTCAGACAGGAACTTGTCTTGTGAAGGGCATTCAGAAAAATATGTCTTTGTTCAACATTTTTTGACAAAAAACATAATTTTTTAACGATGTCGGGAAGGTTAAAGACTCTTTAAAGTGGTTGAAATGCTTACGAATGATTCCGACTCGAATTATATCGATGACATCAATTCTGAAGATGATATTTCTGATGGAAATGATTTAGAAAAAGAGAGACAACTTGCAAATTATAGATCAACTTATCCTTTCAACTTTTTTATTGGTCTCAAGAGTCTATCACTTATAATTATCCAGCAATAGTCGTTTGAAATATGCATACAAAATATTTCACTTTAGCCTTTATTTAGCCTGACCACTTGACATCATGACGTCAAAATGACGTAGACCGGTTAAGGGTTAATCCTCATTTCTTTCATAAGTCAAAATCATCCTTGATGGCGACTGAATAGAATACATGTATATACATGTATAAACTTATTAAAGATGACCAAACATATGCATCACCATATGTTCGTACCAAAATGACCTAGTTTGTGTCCAGTGGACGTTAAACCCACTTTTTTCCCCGCTTTCAACTCTAAATCATCCTTGCTAATGATTAAATGGAATACATTAAATCTGTAAAGATGTCCATACCTTTTCTTCATCTGGGGTGTTGATAAACGGAACATTTTATCCCAATTTTTGGAGTTTATGATTTATTTCTTCATTTTTTTACGCCCACATTTTCATGTGGACATATATTGTCATCGCCCCTGTCCGTCCGTCCGGCCACAATTGTTTGTGAACAGTCTACATGTCACAATTTTTATCCGATTTCAATGAAACTTGAAATATAGGTTTATCACCCAAAGATCTCGGTTAATATATCACTGTATATTTCGCGCATATCGGACCGTAACTTCATGAATTATGGCCCCTTATTTTTCGAAAAATTGCATTTTTAGCTTGTGGACCCTATAGAGGTCATAATTTTTATCCGATTTAAAAAAACGTTTTATTATATCATCATTAAACCCTAAGGACGGTTGAATTCGAATTTCGTGAAAATCGACCCAAAACTGACAGCCATATTCGCGCATATCGGACTGTAACTTACTGAATTATGGCAGCTGATTGTACAAAAAATTGCGTATGTAGCTTGTGGACCCTATAGAGGTCATAATTTTTATCCGATTTAAAAAAACGTATTATTATATCACCGTTACACCCTAAGGACGACTGAGTTCGAATTTCGTGAAAATCGGCCCAAAACTGACAGACAAAATGGCCGCCCCTCGTGCTCAAATTGCGTAAAAATATGGTATATCAAGGTTGTGGACCCTATAGAGGTCACAATTTTAATTCGATTTTGATGAAACTTTAAATGTGAGTTGATAACCCAAAGATCTTGGTTCCTTTTGATATTCGCGCATATCGGACCGTAACTCCCAGAATTGTGGCCCCTGATTGTACGAAAAATCCTGTTTTTAGCTTATCTGATTTAAAAAAAACGTATTATTATATCACCGTTACACCCTAAGGACAGCTGAGTTCGAATTTCGTGACAATCGGCCCAAAACTGACAGACAAAATGACCGCCCTTTGTTCTTAAATAGCGTAAAAATATGGTATATCAAGATTGTGGACCCTATAGAGGTCACAATTTTTATCCGATTTTGTTGAAACTTGAAATGTAAGTTTATAACCCAAAGATCTCAGTTCCTTTCGATATTCTCACATATCGGATTGGAAATTCCTGAATTATGGCCCCTGATTGTACGAAGAATCACGTTTTATTATATCACGGTTGAATTCGAATTTCGTGAAAATCGACCCACAACTGACAGCCATATTCGCGCATATCGGACCGTAACTTCCTGAATTATGGCCCCTGATTGTACAAAAAATCGCGTTTTTAGCTTGTCTGAACTTGTGTCTAAAAAAAAATCTTTAATAGTAAGTGCGGGGGGCTGTACCACAAAATTTACACAAAAACAAATCTATGGACAAGATACAATACGCAGAAATCATAAACAAATGAACATATCAAATTAATGATATGAGATGAGATATGATGAAAATGAGGTGGACAGCATTGTCGTTAACCTGTACTCTCTTGATTCTATATAGTTGCTATCAGATAGTAAACAAAAATAGTGATAAGAAAATCATAATGATTCATACACATACTATACTGTGTAGCTGTACCCTCACCTTGAAGATGTTTGTTTTCAGATAAAGCTAACATGCTAAGATTATCCAAACAGACCTTAATTTTCACACAAACACTGGCTCAGTTCTTTATTGATATTTATAGATGACATGAGCCAAGTTAAAACACCTTTCTTTGTTATTAGATCAGCACTTTATACATTAAAAGATTGAGATAAACACTTTAGCTGGTTGTATAGAAAAATGTAATTTCATAAAAATATTTTGGAATAGTTAATGATAATTTATTTGAAATATACTAAGTTAATTATTTTTGGCTGGTGATATGTTAAATCATTTTCTTATACTCACATTTATTTTGATCCAAGATGTATACTTGTTGAAGTCACAACAACCAATCAGTTGATACGAAGAGGCGTAGTAAAATGTTACCTTGTTTATATGAAACCTGTGGAATATAGTATTGTATATACCCCAGAGAAAAGATAAGATAGGATAAAATTTTATTGTATCATTTCATCCAGCAAGGACAGCATACACAGTTTAAACAAG